ACCTATAAAAGAAGGCTAAAACCAAGTTTATTAATGTTTGTAATAATCACAGTATACAATGTTTAGGTAGGAGTTACATTAAAGAACCACAAATTTAAAAAAAAAAAAAGCAAAATCTAATTTTTTAGAACTTATAAGGAAAGACTTCTTAACATTCCTTTAACTCTTGAGTTCAAATGCATGTTCACTTTCTCACAAGATTTTCAGACTTAGATTTATGAATTCCAGTAGCACAGTGCCCATTACATATAGCAGTACTTAAAAACTATTAAGTAAATTAGTAAAAATACACACAAAAAAACTGTTATGTATATGATATGATTTATCTTGACTGAATCCATTTACATATATTATTCTTGCTAATTAATTTACTATTTATTCAGGCAGCCCCATCAACTTCCAACTGTTAATGTTACACTATGCTCTATGACTCCTATTTTGTTATTTCTAACTTCAGGTCAAAGAGAATTTTGAAATCACTTATTCTTTCTGGTCTCTATTCAATTTCCAATCATTTCTCTTTCTGAAAACCAAAAACAAACAAAAAACACCCCACCACAATATTAATAATAGCTAACATTAAGAAGGTTTACTACGTCCCAGGTACTTCACAAGTTTTGAAACAGTGAATCCTCACAACTACCGAGAGTTGAGGTATGGGTATCAAAAATATACTATTAGTAAATAACATTCTCTCTTGATGTGAAAAGCTATATATAATACTTCTTTGAGTTTGGAACTAATTCTTAAAAAAATGGGAGCTTAACTGTTCCTATTCTGAAATTGGATTCTGGTATCTACAAAGGTATAGAAACAATTCAGAGTAGAAAAAATATTCTAACCAGTTATGGGAAGAGAATATTTTTTTTCTGTCCTGTTTGGGTACTCAACCCAACTTTCTTTTAGTACAATGGGGTGGTGACAAACAGGAAAATAGAAAATTTTCTAACTAACCAGAGCCAAATCATAACCACCTTAACCTAAACCTAAAGTGTTCTGTTCAAGAATAGAGAGCCCAGAATTAAATCAAGGCGTATATGGGCATTTGGTCTATGACAATGGAAGCAAGAATTTACATTGGGGTAAAGATAGTCTATTTAATAAATGGTGCTGGGAAAATTGGACTGACACATGCAAAAAAATGAAACTGGACTACCTCCTTACTCCATATATAAGAACAAATTCAAAATGGATTAAAGACTTAAATGTAAGACCTGAAACCATAAAACTCCTAGAAAAAATATAGGGAGTAAATTTACAGACATTACCCTGAGCAATATTTTTACTGATACATCCCCACGGGCAAGGGAAGTAAAAGAAAAAATGAACATACGGGATTACATCAAACTTAAAAGTTTTTTTACAGCAAAGGAAACCATCAACAAAACAAAAAGGAAGCCTACTGAATGGGAGAAGGTATTTGTCAATGATATATTTGATAAGGGGTTAATATCCAAAATTTATAAAACATTCATGCAACTCAACACCAAAAAAACAAACAACCCATAGGCAGAGGCTATGAAGAGACATTTTTCTAAAGAGGACATACAGATGGCCAACAGGCATATGAAAAAATGCTCAACCTCACTAATCATTAGAGAGATGCAAATAAAAACCACAATGAGATACCACTTCACTCCGGTCAGAATGGCTATCATCAATAAATCAACAAACAACAAATGCTGGCGAGGTTGTGGGGAAAAGGGAACCCTGGTGCACTGTTGGTG